ACGTCATCATTTACCCAGAATGCTTTGTGTGTAAATAAAATGACTTCGTCCGTGTTAAAATATATTTTTAAAGATTTACATAACTAAACAGCCTACAGTATTTTTACAGTCTTTATTTTACAGTTAAAATATWTGTTTATCAAATAAAGTCTAATGTTGCAACTAATCGGGGATCCCTTTAAGGTTCTTTTTTATTACAGGACTGAAACACTAATTGATCAACATACTTTATGAGGAACACTGTGCACCCCAGAGAAAAGGGGACAAGGTCTAAACCTTTAATGTTGTGGCTTCAGGGGGACACAGTGACTGCAGCCAAAGGCAGAAACACATGTGCTTCTCTTAGATTCAATTAGTTGTTTGTTTTAAGTACACGAATGAGGAAAGACATGAAAAGTCAAGCRTACACTTCTACTTGTTTTCACTCTCCTTTTAGACGGTTAGCATCTTATTTCAAGCATATATTAAACTAATTTAAGTGATCAAACGACAGGGAAATTGAAGATTGCTCTAATTTGCTGTATGATAAATAATTATTATTGAAAGCAGTCAGTAGACTGAACCACAGCTGACTTTTTTTTAGGTTATTGTGTCTTTCTCAGGATCACTTAACTTCCTGCTGCATCTGGCAGTGGTGGCTTGTATCCATTAAGTTCCTCTTTTCTTTCAGTTTCACATTGTTTTAATCAGCACTTGAGCGAGTGTGTATTTCTTTGTGTGTGTGGCTTTCATTGGTATGTGTCCCCTGACCACAGCCGTTACATATCGTCTTTATTTTAAACTCTTGGAGCCAATTAAAAGCGTGTGTTCGTCGCGAAACCCCATGAAAACAAATAAAAATCACATATAAACGAGATCTGGCGCTGCTAACAATTTAGCGTTCTCGCAGAATGTTGGGAAACGATGCTGTTAAGCGAGCAGTGATTGGAGCAATGTGAACTTTCTAATGGCCCTGGAATGCAACGTGGAGTCCCTGTCGCCAGTCTATATGTTTATATTCATGCTAAAAACAGATGCAAATACATGATATTTTGTGTGTTAAGTTTGAAAATTTTGTTTAGAACTATATGACAAGGAAAGCATGATATCATAATCTGAGCTATTCATTACAGTGTAAGTGTGTGTGTGTTTGTGTGTGTTTATTACATGCGCGATGTCTGTTTGATGAAGATTGCTGGAGACCTTGAAATCAGTCCCATCTGTTGCATTCTTTGAAGCTCGTTTATTTCCCTTCTCTCTTTGCTCTCCCCGTCTTTCTTCAGATCTGATCGTCGGGGCGTTTGGCGTAGGCGAGGTCTCGGTCTACAGGTACAGGTCTTAAAAGAAAGAACTTTGTCATATTTGAGCGTTCACTTAGAAAGCATTTAAACTTTTTTCCACATCTTAATTTTTTGTGACTTTGCTTTTGTGTGTGTGTGCAGGGCTCGTGCTGTTGTATCGGTGGAAGCTGCATTGACTCTAACTCCCAGAATCCTGAACCCAGATGATCGACAATGTTACCACCCTCAGACACATAACCTGGTCACCTGGTAAAACATCATCTTTCTATTTTATCACCTTTAATTAACGTACAATGTCTTTACATGCTAAATGTTCAGAGTTGGTTGATGGTGAAGCACTCTAAATTCAAGTTGTTCCTTGGGCTGTTAGCTGTGCAAATACTGTATACTGGCTTAAATCAAAACATACTAATTTGCATACAATTAGAATCCCGGACGAGCCCCCAATCGTTACGACAAGACTAAAATGACCGCAAAGTTTTTTTTTTTGCAAAATGTGATTGAAATATTTATTAAATTCTAATTAAACCAAATTAAAATGGATAAGTAAAGGCCATAAGAGTAGGTGGTGGAATGTAAAACAAAAACTACCCAATGCAGGTGGCAAAAATAATTGGTGGTCAAGCAGAGAGACATTGTACAAAAATATTTTGTTAACTTTTTTAYGACTTGTTTCCCTTAAGGAGAGGTCATGAGAGTAGACTTTCTCAATCAATTTGTTTTTTGAGTGGAGAAGGAGGTGGTCGTACTCTGATATTTATGTTCATTTATTTTTATTTATATAGCGCCGTTTCAAAACAAATATTAGAGTTTTAATGCTGCCGCCAATTCCCTTGTGGTGAAGCTGGTTTCCCATAATGTTTGTGAGATTGCTGATTTATTTATTTTTTTCTATCTTGTTTGAGTCAAGCTTGGATGTTTCTAAAKATACAGATACAGATAAAGTAGCTACATTAGAAAGGACTGAAGGCTTGTTTTAACTGAATTCAACAGAGATTGGATTTTAAAAGCACATCAGGTTTACTCCATTCATCATTGATTCAATTTTCTGCCAAGTATGCTTTTGTTAGAGCCCACTCTTTTTACAGGTCATTTCCTCTGAAAGTTTATATACAATAAAACATCAGGTAGTACTGTTGGCTACATCTATTTTTGGCTAAAATACTGATACTYGATGTGCTTTTGATGTGAATGAAARCAAAAATAGCAAAAATATCTGTATCAGCAGGGAGAAAATAAACAGATGTGCATCATTTTGTGGTGCCTTTCACAAGCTGGGGGAGACTTTTACAAGAATACTGCCCTGTTCTTAATAATGTAGGCTTCACAAGTTCATAAAACAAGTTCATCACTGCCAAAGCAACAACGATGTTTGTTTTGTTAATCTGAATGGCTGATTTTATTACTGATGATGATGTTAAAAAGGTAGGAGATACWGTAATTTAAATTCTGAATATTTTAAGGGGTGGAAGTACTGTGTATTTTCCAGGCACATACTTAAATTTTATACCACAATCTATTAACTATGTTACYGTAGTTGTTATRAAAATGCTGTATATATTTTAAAAATTGACTTTGCATCATATAGCCTACMTAAATTCCTTGAAATTGGCCTCTGTTTCTGTCCTGAGCGAGGGGMGGAGCTTGATAAAATAGGCGGTGCTTTGTACYAGTAAACATTTAGGTAGCTCCACATGGCAACCACAGGTGATTCAAGGATTTCTCAAGCATGCATAAATGAGTCAAAACATTGAGAGAATGACATCACATGATATGAAGCTCAAAAAAGTTGATTTTGCATAATTTTTGCAAATTCCCCTTTAATTTGAAGGGCCTTTATCTCAATTCATCCATTAGTTCATCAAGTTCCATCCCAACATCTTTTCTATGGCACGTCTATCTCCCTCACATCGATTACGTTTTTCTGCTCTAAAACATCTAAAGAATGAAGAGACATTTTAGAGCGTCTTTAGTCACTTTCCCACCATTAAAACTCAAACTAAGCCATTTAGAATATTGTTCCTACAAGGCCTGTGACTGTGTGTTTATATGTGTGCAGGTGAATTAAAGCTAAAGGGTTCAAAGTCTTAAACATGAAAGTAATGAGGCCCATTCTGCTGCACAGATCCTTAACAGAAACTGTCGCGCTCGCGCCGCATCGTAAAACGGTCCRGCACGTAAAACATACACTCTCACAAATCACACTCACGCCGACAAATGTGACAAACATTTCACCCCTGTGCTCGAGACGTCTGCCATCAGCCTGTCTGTTTGTCTGACTCTCTGCTGCAGTAATGTAGCGCTCTGCTGGGAAAAGAAAAAGCCGGCTCATATAACCTGGAAACTCAGATTTATGAGGCTCTGCAATTAATCTGAAACCACATCATTTAGTTTTACTTATATCAGTGCTTGTRCGGGTGGCAGATTGGCTTTGAACAAGCTTTGGCGTGCGTTTAAGCTGAGGGGAACCAGTCTAGTGTTGGTCCTAAGTAACTTACTGAGACTGGAAATGCTACAGGATTATCTTGGATGGGACTCACGGCTGGCTGCTGACCAAACCCACTAAAACTGTGTGAATTTTGCCAAAACTAAACTTTGCTTAGTAAATAATTGGTCATAAAGTTTAGGTCTGTGGTGTGCGTTCAAAGAATTTGGTCGAGTAAATGTGGTGCAGAAAAATGAAAGGATATCACCGACATTTATTTTAAACAAGGTGATAATTTGCTGTATTGTATTTGTATTACATTTAAGTCACATGTTGAAGCATCTGATTTCCTGATGAATGCAACAATTACCCAACAGCCTTTTACACGAAAGGTCATTGAACAGTATTGACTCTTGTTCTGTATGCATTTCAGCTAACTTCAAAGAATTCTTGAACCCTCTGGCTGAAAAATAGTCCTTCTTTTTCATAATTAAAGAGAAAGAAAAACTTTTTTTCCCTCTCAGATTCTGTTTATTTTCCCCTGGAAAACAGAAACTGTAGCCAGCAATCAAATTTGTTCTTAGTAAGTACCTAAATGTCTTATGAGCATTATTTCTACATTATATTTCTAC